AACAGCCGAACTGCTGAACTGCAGTCAGCTGAAGTAGTCTGCAGTGCTGCATTTAACCACTGTGTAGAGGTTTTTCTCTTTTAATCCTTACAAAAATCCTGAGAAACCAGGCTAAACAAAATATAGCTTGCCCACCTCCATAACAAAATCTGTTGCATCTCTAATTGGACAAAAATCCTTTACCAGGACAAGCTGAACTCAGGAGTATTTAATTTCTCTGCTGATAATTTCCCACATGATAGAGCAGGTCATTTTTTTATTCCCATCTGAGATGCACAATTATTCAAGAGTTAAAAGAAATTTTGAAAATGTAATTAAGCCACTGCACTTAACATTAAACAAAAGCACTTTATTTCTTTAATTAAGTTTAATTGCAGAAAGCTGCATACTTAGTTCAAAGAATAGACACAGAGCTTTACTATTTTTTTAAAATGCCCCCGTTCTTTATTGCTAAAGGAACTTTCAAAATTAAGTTGTGATGATACATTTATACTTCTCGAAACTTAGAGGGACACTAAACCAAGTTCAAACAATTGCTGAAATATTGTTGATGTTCTTCAGGTTTTGTGTATTTGTCTATATTTGAAACCAAAGTATAACAGTTAACAGCTACTCAAAATAGCAATACAAATTTGGTTCAAAAAAATTAGACTGACACATAAATCCAAGCAAAGTATCAAGTTTAACATATTTAAAATGCAGGAATTGAAATAAAAGGATTCATATATTTTTTTTGTAGTTGAAGCTCTTTTGAAATGCCGTTAACTAAATAAAATACACAGGTCTTTTTTAAGATGAAGATTTAGAGGGCCGTTTAGCATGAGGAAATCAGAGAAAGATTTCCTGTATAGGCTGGTTTATAAAGATAAGATAAATTTTATCTTAAAGGGGAAAAACCCCACAGTTGCCAGAAACGCAGTTCTGAAAATCCAGCAATTCAATAAATATAAAACATTTGTTTTCTTGTTGGTTTGGAACTGTTGTTGGTCCTACTGAGTTAGAAGAGTGGGATTGTCCATGGAGATAAACCAACAAATAAAAATCAACCCGTTTGAGAAGTCTGTTATGCAATCTGTTCATAAAAAATGAAACCCTTTGTTCATGCAGCCAATTATTTTTACAAACAGTAAACATAAACATCATAATGCATCTGAGGTATTGGCACTGAATGTTAGGTACGCGTAAAATAGGTAAACACCAGCTCTCATTTAATGGAATGTCTTAATTTTAGTCCACGTTGTTTTAAAAGGGGGACGATCGGCATCTTAGTCTTGCTTCTTAGCCTTCCGGTATTCCAATATAGTAGTGATGACCCAAATATTAAGAGCCATCATGACTACAAAACGGATCAGAACTAGGAAGAGGAGGAAAGAATACTCATTAGCAATTACGCACCTTAAAATAAACAAGCAAATGAATCTTAAAACTAGGAAATAACTCCCAATAGCTTTCGAACTAAAACCGTGTTTCCCTGAAAATATGGACAGGGTATTGTTTTCTTTTGACAGGGGTCAGCTATAAAAGAGGAGCGAAAGGGGAGCGGAGTTTGCAGGAGGCAATTAGTTCGCTTAATTGGTTCGTGACCCTCCGAGTTTCCTTGCCAAGTTTTGCAGATATGTTTTGTAGTTTTATTAGAATTTGTAGGCCGCCCTTTTCCCTGAGGGGACTCAGGGCGGCTCACATAAAACTGGGAAGGGGGGG